TGATGAAGCTCTGACAACTTCCAAAGGCAACTTCTGTTCCACTAGTTGATTGTTCTCACTGTCAGAAAGTTTCTCCTTGTTTCCATGTTGAATCTCTCCTTGTTCAGCTCTCATCCATTATTCCTTGTCTGGCCTTCGGGTGCTTTAGAAAATAGCTTGACCCCTCCCTCCCTGTGGCAGCCCCTCAAGTATTGGAAGACTGCTATCTTGTCTCCCCTGGTCCTTCTCTTCCCTAGACTAGCCAGGCCCAGTTCCTTCATATGTTTTAGCCTCCAGCCCCTCAATCCTCTTGGTTGCTCTTCTCTCCATTCTTTCTTGAATCTGAACATATTTTTTATAGTGTGGTGACCAAAACTGGATGCAGTACTCTAGGCGTGGTCTTACTAAGGCTTTATAGATTTTGGGGGTTTTTTTCCCTTGAAAACACAGGTTCCTTGGAAAGAAATCTCTCTTTTTTTTTAAATTTACTGGGAAGCATTTTCCAACACTATAAGAACAGGAATGGTCAAGATCTCCAATTCCAACTAGTCTTTCCTCTCTTTCTTGGTTAAAAGCTTTTCAATGGAAACAAAAAACAAAAAACACTACACACCTTTTCCTTTAGAAATGCATGCCCCTAAAGAGTTCCTGTAACAAAGAAAAGAGGAAACAATTTCAACTTTAGGTCTATTTCTCTAAGTTAAGACATCATGTATCAAAAACTCCATTTGTAACATTTAAGCAGAATTCTTAGCAAAGCAAAGCAAAACAATCCTGCATTTTTTTTCCTTAAAAAGAAACTGGAAAAAAATATATTTGCACAAGGGCTACTTGGCAAGGTTGTAACTTGGTGGGGAAAATACAAGCAAAACACAAAAACCCAGAAAAAGAGGCTTGAACTATAGGTGGGGAGGACCAACGGCAGTGAAAAAAGTGACTTATGATCATTTTCCACCCTTATGACCGTTGCAGCATCCCCAGAGTGCATTCAGATGTTTGACAAATGGTTCATATTTACGACGGTTGCAGTGTTCAGGAGTCATTTTGTAACCTGATGAGCAAAGTCAAAGAGGAAGCCCTTCACAACTGTGTTACTAATGTAACAACTACAGTGCTTCACTTAATAAATGTGGCAAGAAAAGTCGTAAAATGGGACAAAACTCACTTAACCAATTTCTCACTCAGCAATATACATTTTCGGCTCAATTGTGAGTTGAAGACTACCTGCATGTAATCATAATTTTATTTTATTACATTTTCAGAAGTTCTTTAAATAATGAGCATTTTGAGATTTTCAAGAAGGGACCATCCCCCTATCAACACTCCCACCTAGAGGTGGCTGATGGGACTTGTAATCCAAAGCATTTCCAGTATAATTATTTTTTTGTTTTAAATATGGTTTTACATTGTGTAAGCCTCCTCGAGTCAGAGAGAGAGAGCGCATGTGCGCCTTTCCCATCCAGCGCTGCTTTCTGGTCCTTCTCCGCACCCACCTCGCCTGCGATTGGCTGCTTTGGAAAGCTGTTTCCATCACAAAGCTGGCTGGGGAATTCTGGGAGTTGAAGCCCTCCAGGCTTAAAGTTGCCAAGGTTGGAGACCCCTGGTGTAGAGTGTATAAAATTTATTGTTTGACCATGAGATCTTGCTCTTCTTGTACCCAATCCACTTTGGAAGGGACTTGAAGGCCCATTTGCAAACACTTATTTTCTTTAATAAACCTTTGAATTGTGAACCAGACCTCTCTGTATTGTGAGTATTAAATAATTTGGGTCTTACATCTCACAGTCCATTTCTGTAGGGCTTTGATTTAATTAGGCATTTAAATCTTAATGACTCTTTTAAGAATATTAGGCTTATTGGTCTTCCTTATTTTTCTCCTCATAGTTTTCCTTAATCATTGTAATGTTTGTAGGAGTATTTTTTAATTTATATTAAAAAGTTTTTTATTCCCTCCGTGTATGGAATGGACACATCCTTTTTTTGTTAGTTGTCTTTCACTAAGATATATCTTTTCATTTTACTTCCATTTCTGTGCCACTTTTTTTCTCCCAAAAATAATAAACAGCAAATTAAAAGATACACATTTTTTTTACTATTTTCATTGTAATTCCTCTGCCTTTTATGAGTCAACTTGCATTGTTGGAAAATGAGTGCCATAAAAGATCAATAAAATTATTATTATATAATGGATATTTGCAGTTGTGATTTATGGTTTTTCTAAAAGGCACGAGTTGGGATCCAGGGAGCAGTAAGGCAGGAGAAGCAATGTATTCACATAGAAATGTATTTTTTTATTTTAATTTTTTATTAGTTTATCAAAATATAAAATGCAAAAAATAATAATAGGAAAGTAAGGGAGGAAAAGGGATAAGAAAAAAGTGAAGAGTAAAAGGGAAAAAACATTGACTTCTGATTCTTTTTAGTGTAGTACAGTAAGTTAATAATGAACATCCTCAACTTTTAATTCTACATATAACATGTACAAGCTATTTCTATAACCACAAGCCCATCTAATCAGTGACGTCCTAGGTCTATATACACCCCCCCCTCTCCACACACACATACATATCTTCCCTACATCACAAGCACAAAGTCCAAAAGTGGTTTCCAAGGGGAGATAGCAACAATCTTCTTTTGCTGGCTGCAGCGAACTGGACAGGAGGCCACCAAGAAAGGACATGTCCATATTTCTTCCCAGGGAAACTACACAGGGGTCAGAATGTGTTTTCCTTTCCAGGGGGCAAAAACAACTGCAAGGGAAAAGGCAACAGCTCCTGGTTTGGGGGGCTGGGGGAGACACAGCAACATCTGTATCCTTCCATACTTTGAGAGGTCCCAGGTCACCCCAGCCCTGCAGAGCTGCAAAATTTGCACCCCTTTTTTTGCCCCATGAATCCTTTTTTGGATTGGGTGGGAATTGCACCCCTTCTTTCAAGTGACTTGCACAAATTATTCCACCAATAATTTTTCCAACCTGCTCAATTTTAAGAAGAGTGAACTCCCAACTCCCAGAATTCTTACAGGTTCAAAGTTACCCCAGATTGAAAACAAACACATACACCACAGGTAGTCCTCGAGTTACAACAGTTCGCTTAGTGACGGAAATTACAACGGTGCTGGAAAAAAGTGACATTGAACCGTTCTTTCACACTGACAACCGTTGCAGCCTCCTTGGCCAAAATCCAGATGCTTGACAATGGACTCTCATTTATGACGGTCGGAAGTGTTCCTGGATCACGCCATCCCCTCCTACGACCTTCTGTCAAGCAAAGCCAATGGGAAAGCCAGATTTACTTAATGACCATGTGACTAATTTAACTGCTACAGGGTTCCACTTGACAAATGTGGCAAGGAATGCCATGAAATGGGACAGACCTCACTTAACGAATGTCCCAGCAATAAAAATATTGGGTTCAATGGTGGTCATAAGTTGAGGAATACCTGTACAGTGCAGATAATACAATTAACCAGTGGGAGGGCTTGCCTTCAGAAGTTGTGTGGGCTCCATCATTGGAGGCTTTTAAGAAGACACTGGACTGACACTTGTGTGGAATGGTGTAGGGTGTCCTGCTTGGGCAAGGGGTTGGACTAGAAGACCTCTCAGGTCCCTTCCAGATTCTATTCTATTCTATTCTATTCTATTCTATTCTATTCTATTCTATTCTATTCTATTCTGTTCCTACTCTACTCTACACTACTCTATTCTAAAGTTTTCTTCTCTTCTAAACTTCTAATAATTTATCGTCCCTCCTCTTCTCTCGAAGACCTCCAAGGTCCCTTTCAGCTGTCTTCTCTTCTCTTGTCTTTTCTCCTCTCTCTTCTTCCATCTCTTCTTCCATTCTTCTTCCTTCCATCTCGCCCCTCCTCCCCTAGCTTCTCTTCTCTTCTCTCTTCTCTTCTCTCCTCTCAACTTGATCTGCCTGTAATACCGACTCCAACCGGGAGGGGGCTGCAGGGCACAAGCTACCAGCGATTAAGGGAGGCCAAGTTCGCGCTCGGGCGGTTGCTATGGTTTCCCCCCCCCCCACACTTCCCTCCGCCCGGTGTCCCCGAGATAACCTTGTGCGGAACGCAAAGACGCGAGCCGCGGTTCCCGGGTGGGACGCTTTCAAATGGACGGACCGAACGAGGGATTTCCGGCCGGGGCTTCCACGCGGGGAGAGGGAGGCCGGCTTGGGGTGAGTCTGACGCGTGTCGGTGCCGCGTTGTCTGAACGAGGGTTGGGGGGGGGGGCGGGCGCAGAGAAGGTGGTGGGGCTGTGGTCCTGGGAAGTGGGGAGGCCTTCACTCGCCTTGGCGGCTTTGAGGGAGCCTTGAGGAGCCCGTTGGCTTCGGGTTGGGGGTGGAGGAAGGTGGGCCAAAAGGGAGGGAGGAGGCCTCTCTATAGCAGGCCTCTCTCTCTGCCTCTCTCTCCAAGGTTACTATGCAGAGTATCTCTCTCTTTCTCTCTCTCCCTCCATCCCTCTAACCTGTCCCTGTGTCTACCGCATATCTCTCTAATATGTCTGCGCTCTGACCCGACTACTATATACCATCTATCTATTCTCTATCTCTCTCTATTATCATCTATCTGTCAAACATATAACTACTGTCTATCGTCTATACCTACCTACCTACCTACCTATCATCCGTCTATTCTCTCTCTCTCTCTCTCTCCCTCCACATATATATGTGTGTGTGTGTGTGTGTGTGTGTATATATATATATATATATATATGTATATATATATATATGTGTATGTGTATATATATATATATATGTATATATATATATGTATGTATATATATATATATATTTGTTTTCTGAGGTTCTCGCGGGTATTTGTATGTGGATCTTTGGTTGTTCGGGTTTTCTCCCGCGTAAGATTCGAAGTATCTAGGCAACGTTTCGATGAAGTCTCATTCATCATCATCAGGCCTCTGTCTTTGGCTCTTGCTTTTCAGAGTGATGTGAGGTTGCAGCTGCTTTTTTCTTTAATATATATAATCTTTTTCTAAATATAAACATATAAATATATGTGTGTGTATGTATATATGTATGTATGTAGTCTATTTATCATCTATCAATCTATTGTCCATCTACATCCATCCATCCATCCAACCTGTCTCTCTTACTGTTTCTCCAATATCTCTCTCTAATCTGTCTGTCTTCTTTATCTCTATCTTTAATTTGTCTCTGTCAGTCTGTCTATAATTTATCATCTATCTATCCCTCTGTAACCCTCCCTCCATCTCCGTCTACTGTCTCTCTAATATATCTTTCTAATCTTCTGTCTACTGTATCTCTAACATCTATCTATTCTCTATCTCTATATCTATTATCATCTATCTGTCAAACATCTCTATCTATTGTCTATCGTCTATCGTCTATACCTACCTACCTACCATCTGTCTATTGTCTATCATCTATAATCTACCTACCTATCATCCGTCTATTATCGTCTCTGTCTCTCTCTTCTCTCTAAATATATATTGTCTATTTATCATCTATCAATCTATTGTCTATCATATATCATCCATCCATCCGTCCATCCATCTATCTAACCTGTCTCTCTTACTGTTTCTCTAATATCTCTCTCTAATCTGTCTGTCTTCTTTATCTCTATCAACTCTACCTTTAATTTGTCTCTGTCAGTCTGTCTGTCTATAATTTATCTATCTATCCCTCTGTATCCCTCCCTCCCTCTGTCTCTGTCTACTGTCTCTAATATATCTGTCTCTAATCTTCTGTCTATTGTATCTCATCTATCTCTAATCTGTCTGTCAGTCTTTCTTGTCTGTCTGTCTCTGTCATCTATCTACCTGTATCTGTCTATCATTTTGTTTACAATTTTATACAGTATAATTTATGTTTTATTTCTGTGTACAGAATCTACCAAAAGTCAGACCCCATGTAGAATTTATTATATAATATACAGTAAAACCTCTGGTCATGGACACTTCTGACCATGACCAAATCGGGTTCTGATCAAAAAATTCACAAAATGTTTGAATCTGGTTACAGGGTGATCAAACACGATCCCTGACCCAGAAATTCCTGAAGACGAAACAATAGAAGATGAAGAACTTGCCAAAGTTAGGGAACAAATTGTGGTCGTGACCAGAGGTTCTACTATATATGACATGTTCCAGTTGGTTGCCATTTTTTTCTGAACACCACCTTACTCCTTTTACCCCCTCAGTCTTTGAATGTTTCTAAATACAGCAATATTTTCACTGGGGAAAAAAATAAATATCTTACGATTGGCCTATAGGGCTGGGCATGTGTATGTGATATACAACCAATAAAAAAACATGGTCTTTTGGGGACACATATATATGTATACACAAAAGTAATTTGATACACAATGGAAAAAAACCTAGCCCTTTGCATGTCTCTCCTAACCCAAGTGTGGACATGCTGTTTCCCTCCTCACTCCCAGCATGCAGACTGGGACCTTGCAGGATGCTGAATTGGGAAAGGATAGGCTGAAGTAAAAGTTGCTACTTTATGATCCTTGTTCCTTTTTGAATTTGCACAGGGGCTCTCCCAAGTTTACCTTGAATTTGTAAAATTGCATGACTGGGGAAGTGAGTTTGGAAAGCCTCTGAATAAAACTCTGCTGCTTTGATCTTGAAGTTGGTGTAGGGCCATCTGCTGATTCATAAAATTTACAGAAAGATCTTTTCTACAAAGACACAAGAGATCTGGAGTTCTGTGAGCTGTTACGTATAAACGACACGCCTCCTGCTTACATGAGACTTGTATAACATATATAATACTTTCTTTTCCTAACTTTACATCAGTACTTCGGTGAAAAGCAAACTCTTTGGCTTCACATGGTTGCTGGACCCAAGGGGGAAAGATGGAGGAGGCCAACCAGAAACAACATCGCAAGAAGCACAGCGGTCCCAAGGCTGGCAAGAAAAAGAAGCGCCATTTGAAAGATTTAGGAATCGAAGATGAAGAGGATGCAAGGAAGAGAAACCCCAAGGCCTTCGCGGTCCAGTCTGCAGTCCGCATGGCCAGATCCTTCCACAGGTCTCATTTATGACTAGATTCACTCTGCTAATCCTACCGCCATTATTGGCTCCAGGCAGTCTTCTATGGGGTGGGAAGACAAATTGTACTATAGCAAATAAGATCTGTTTGGATTGTTTGTAAAAAAAAAAAAAAAAAAGGCAGGAGGATACAAATGAATATAAATAAAGATCCTCAGTCTAGGACAAAGCATGGGCAAGCTTATAGTTTACAGCACAATGAGAGAAATTAAATTGAGCAGATGAAGGCTTTCTGTAGAGGCTCTCTGACTAAGTTTGAGACGTATCTCACCGATCCCCGTAGCCGTGTGCAGGACCCCAAGGATGCATCATGTAATTTGGGGGAATGTGACCAGACTCCCCAAACTTCTTACTAGATGAAATAAATTTCTCTTCTGCCTGGCTGATAGATGGGATTTAAGAAAAAGCTACGTAATCACTGAGCTAAACAAATATCCAGTTTTGTTATTTTTTTTTCTATTTGTTTCTGCATTCCTGCATTCTCTGGAATAAGCTTCAAATGAAGGGCAGCCTGTTTCTGAAACTTTGCAGTGTGAGAATGAGAGCCTAAGTCCCTCCCCTCCCCCAGAAGCTCCCTGTTTTAATAGAATCTTAACGGCCTTTATTAAAACACTGTAAAATGAATCAGCCATTATTTTTAACACTTGACTTTCCAGTTAAGAGTACGTAGTATATCCTTTGCATGGACTGGATGGCAGGGATTGCATATGAAAATGTTTGGAAACCTCTCTTGGTGCTACTAATAAACCAGGGCCTACTACAGGTAGTCCTCGATTTGCAACTGTTTGTTTAGTGATTGTTTGAAATTACAACGGCACTGAAAAAAGTGACTTGTGACTGTTTTGCACGGTTACGACCATTGCAGCCTCCCCCGTGGTCAGGTGATCAAAATTCGGCCACTTGGCAAATGACTCATATTTATGATGGTCACACTGTCCCCGCAGTCAACGCAATCCCCTTTTGCGACCTTCTCACAAGCCGAGTTACTGAGGGAGCCAGATTCACTTAACAACCATGTGACTCACTTAACAACTGTGGCAAGGAAGGTCTTACAACGAGGCAAAAGTTCACCTTAGCAGCTGTCTCTCTCAGCAATGGAAATGTTGGGCTCTGTTGCAGCTGTAAGTCGAGGACTACCTGTGTTTACACCTGAACGTAGTCGACATGATCACATGATTTTGCTTTGAACTCAACTGCAACTCTTATCCTTGAAATAGGACCCAGGATCTGAAAACCAAAAAGCACCATATTCCAGTGGTGGATCGCACTCCCTTGGAACCCCCTCCAGTAGTGGTGGTGGTGGTTGGCCCTCCCAAGGTTGGCAAAAGCACCTTGATAAGATGCCTCATTAAGAACTTCACAAGGCAGAAATTGGTCGAAATTCAGGGCCCTGTCACCATCGTGTCAGGTAAGAAACCAAAACCCACCTCTGTAGTTTGCATCCATCACAGCTCGCAGTTTTCTTTCTACTCTGAAAGAAAGATCAGTGCTGAGCAGAGCCTTGCAATTCGTTTCCGGGTGAAAATCTGACCCCGAAACATCTTCCTTCCTGTCCACACCGCTTTCTATAGAGGGACGATCGAGAGCGTCTGTTCTGACGCCTAGGCTTCCCCAACTGCACGAAGCCAACTCCTCGTCCCATTAAACCCCTTTTATTTAGTCTACAGTGAATTCCTCTCCAGCAAAGTCCCGGCCAACAGTCTTTCGAGAGATTTGACAACTACAGACCTTTATCAGGCTTGGAGAGTTGCCAGGCTAATATCTTCCAAACGCCACACTAGCAGACAATACTTGGCAAGGAGTTAGGAACAGTTCTTCACCCTAATGAACTAATTGTCTCCTGCAAAACCCCGCTCCTCTTTTGCTCCTCTTTATTCCCAATGGGAGGGGCCATTCACTGCCCACCTGTGCCTTTACTTGCAAGTCGACCCTTGTTCCTTAGTTGTTCCCTTCGTCCGGCAGCTCTGTGCATGTGCACATTGGGAAGAGGCTCCAGCTATTGTTCTGCCTCACTAATCTCCGACTCCAAAGGCAGCTGATAACTGTCGGAGGGCCCTGGACCCATCTCTGCTTCCGACGCAGAGCCCTCGTCTGAGCCTTCCCCAGACTCCAGGACTGGCCCATGTTCCTCCCCAACCTCCTCACTGTCCGAGTCTGCCACCAGCTCCACTGGCCGCTGGAGGGCCACAACAGCAACCTGTGGTCACCATCTTTGTGTTTTTAAACAAAGTTGTAATATTCCTTCCTCTGTTTCTTGCCTTTGGCGGCCAGGTAAAAAACGCCGGCTAACCATAATTGAATGTGGGTGCGATATTAATGCGATGATTGATCTTGCCAAAGTTGCCGATCTGGTAAGTTGTATTGCTGTATCATGAGACAGAGATAGGTTTCCCCCAGATAAAAATTTGATTGAAGAAGCTTAACGTTAGGACAGGTAGACCTCGACTCTTAAAACACTTCGTTTAGTGACCAGCACTGAAAAAAGGGGCTCATGGTAATTGTTCACCCTTATGACCATTTGCAGCATCCCTGTGGTCACGTGATCAAAATTCAGATGTTTGGCAATTGACTCATATTTATGACGGTTGCAGTGTCCCGGGGTCATGTGATTCCCTTTTGCGAGTAAAGTCAATGGGGAAGCTAGATTCATTTAACAACCGGGTACTAATTCATCTCTCGGGCAAAACTCACTCAATAACAAAACAGAAATTTGGGGCTCCATCGTAAGTCAAGGACTACCTGCAAATGATTTTAGACCTATTTCTGAAGCCTAAAAGTTGTACAGTAGGACCTCTGGTCACGAACGCTTCTGACCACTACCAAATCGGGTTCCGACCCCAAAATCCAGAACATTTTTTAATCCAGTCACTGTTCAAAAATCAGGTGGCGATTAAACATGGCCGCGGCCGGTTTCCCCTTCCCTGCCATTTTTTTGGGGGGTAAGCGCATGCTCATTCAGTCTCGCTTTCAGTCACAACCAAATCGGGTTGCAACCGAAGTTACAGAACAAATTACGGTTGTGACCAGAGGTTCTACTATAGCTGCCTTGTTGTAAAATACATTAAGAATTGGTTTGCATCCTAACATTTTGGCCCAGGAAGAAGACGCCTTTCAATTCAATATCTGTTGTTGTTGTTTTTTAGTCCATAACTGTAGACCCAAATTGTATGTTCTTGTTTCTTTCCACGTTCTTCTAGTAGTTGGAACTGTTTACTTGCCATGATAAATACCAATTTATTTGATAACCTATTTTCATTAATAATGAGATAGATGTTGAAAGCCAGAACACAGCTGTTTGTTTTAATAACTAGGAATGTCTGGTGGAGTATGGCCAGAGCATTACTTAAGGTCAGGAGTCTCCAACCTTGGGAACTTTGAAGACTTGTGGACTTTAGCTCCCAGAATCCCTCAGCCAGCTAAAGAATTTTGGGAGTTGGAGTCCATGAGTCATAACATTACCATGGTTGGAAACCTTAAACTAGGGGTCAGCAATCTTAAACACTCAAAAGAGCCATTTGGACCCATTTCCCACAGAAAAGAAAACACTGGGAGCCACAAAACCTGGGTGGGCATGGCCAACTCAACGTCACTCCCACCCACTCAACGTGTTTTCTGTGGGTCTCCCTCCCTCCCTCCTTCTCATTTCTATTTTTTGTGTTTTACCTTCTCAGGCCAGGCGAGGAGTAACTGGGAGGGGAGGGCAAGGGGCGGGGCCAGCCAGTGGTGAGATCACCCAATAGGGAGCCACAGCAGAGGGCCCAAAGAGCTGCATGCAGCTCCAGAGCTGCAGGTTGCTGACACCTGCCCCAAACCTAAGTAACTTTTTCTTTTGGAGAAAAGAGACACAGTGAGAACAGATTGTATCCCTGCCCCATCTATGGTGCCGATCCTTTTTGGTGTAAGCAACGTTATGCAACACACTGAAAAACATAAAGGAAGCAAAAGAAATTAAAGATGGGAGAGAAAAAAAGAGAAGCTAATTTGAAGTAAGCATTGTTATGCAAAGCACCAAAAAACGGTGTATTGTAAGCAAAAGAAATCAAAGATGGGGGAAAAAAAAGAGAATTAATATAAGTTATACCAATGCATTCAATAAATAAGCTCTTGAAAGTTGACCTCTATCAGTATTTACTTAGAGTTGGCATGTTTTAGTGAGATTTTTTTAAAAAAGTGTAGTAAATTGGTTCCTACCCCCCCAGGTGTATTTATTTATTTTCAATTTCCCTCTCAGGCTTTGATGCTGATCGATGCCAGTTTTGGATTTGAAATGGAAACCTTTGAATTTCTGAACATTTGTCAGGTCCATGGCTTCCCCAAGATCATGGGAGTTCTTACACACCTGGACAGCTTCAAAAATAACAAGCAGCTCAAGAAGACCAAAAAGAGATTAAAGCATCGGTTCTGGACCGAGGTTTATCAGGTATGGCATGCGTCAACTTGCCTTCAGTGGCTGGGAAAATGTGTCAAAAATGCAGGAAAAATCTAAAGGTAATTCTATTTAAAATCACAGATTGACGTGTCCTGTTTGAACTAGTTTTCATCTTGGTTTGATTTGATTGAATCGAACTGATTTTACATTCAAGGAAAGAAATACGGTTGGATTAAAAAAAACAGTTAAAAGCAGTGAATTGATTGCATTGCATTCTATGAATTTATTTAATTTTTAAACTTAGGGTGCCAAATTGTTCTACCTTTCCGGCATGGTGCATGGAGACTATCAAAAACAGGAAATCCACAATCTAGGGAGGTTTATCTCCGTAATGAAATTCCGCCCCCTGACTTGGCAGACAACTCATCCCTACGTCTTGGTGGACAGGTAATTTCTTTTATTCCGCTTGACCTTTGTGCACTCACTTCCCTCCCTCCTTCCCTTGAACCACCTCCCTCTTTCCCTTCCTTCCTCCCTCCCTCCCTCCCTTCCTTCCTTGACCATCCTTCCTTCCTTGACCATCCTTCCTTCCTTGTCCTTCCTTCCTTCCTTCCTTCCTTCCTTCCTTCCTTCCTTCCTTCCTTCCTTCCTTCCCAAACAATAGCCCTTAGACTTATATACCACTTTATAGTGCTTTCCAACCCTCCCTAAGCCGTTTCCAGAGTCTTAACAACTTGAAAGGATTTGGGAAAATGTAGATGAGCCTGAAGAAAAGTTCACTTTAAAGATACAGCAAAGTATTCAAAGTTTCAGGTAGTTAAAGGGAGGCTAACCATCAGGAATGGCATATATTGTTGTTATTTACTTATATGCCACCCTTTCCCCCAACACAACAACTATTGTGCTAGTTTAGAGTACACAGAATGTTTTCCATCTCCTTCTAAACATTTTCACCCCGATATTCTTATAATCTGCAGGATGGAAGATTTGACAAACCCAGAGGCAATCAGAGTTAATCCAAAGTGCGACCGGAAGGTTTCCCTTTATGGTTATCTAAGAGGAGCCCACTTGAAAAACAAAAGCCAAATACACATGGCAGGTGAGATAGAACTGGAAGGTGTTTTTTTTCCCTCTTTGCTACTATATTTTGTCGTCAAGCATCAGTGAAGTACTTCTAAAGAGACGTCAAGACCTTCTTCCTCACTGCCTGGGAAGAACGCGAAGAGTCATAAAACAATCTTAGCTTTGAAAAAGGGGCTTCTGTTCCTATTTAAGGTGGGAAATAGGAAAGGTTGACCGTGATTTGAAGGAAGGGCTTTGAGCCAAACATGTCAACAGAACATCTCTCCGCAGTTCATTAAAACAGCCCCACTATTTCCAGCCTTTCATACAAGCCTGCAAAAAAGAGAGAGAGGTCGAGAGAGAGGTCATTGCTTTTAAGAGTGGCATAAGCCAGTGTCTTTCATCCTCAGCAGCTTTAAAATATGTGAACTTCAGCTCCTAGAATTCCCCACTCAGCAAGTCCACACACTTTAAAGTTGCTGAGGTTGGAAGACACTAGCATGAATATTAATGTGTGGATTTCTTAAAGCATTTGAGCTTTTCGTGGAAGGCTGAATAAATTTGGGCTGCTTGAATAGATAGAGCCGGCCGATGCTCAGTTGAGGTCCAAAGTCCTTCTGTATCGTTTTGGATGTGAGTGAAGTCTTAGATGTCAACTATTAAGGTCTTAACTGTGGGGTCATCAGCAAGCACCTTGCCTAAAACCAGCATCAGGCAGGCAGTTGTACTAAATATTTAATTAAAGAAATGTTTATATTCCTTTCTAACCTGATACCTGTTTTATTTCCTTGAAGTTAGGGAGTCTGACAGTTTAGTTTTAAAGTTGTAGAATTTTTTTACCATTGAAACAGTGTCACTGTTATGAGAAGGGTGGCCAGGCAGATCATTTAAACAAATCAATAACTTTGTTTTGCAATTTTTAGATCTCCATCTCATTTATGTATGAAAATGCAAAGCAAATTACAGTAATATCCGTGTTTCCCTGAAAATAAGACCAGGTCTTATATTAAATTTTGTGCCAAAAGATGCATTAGAGCTTATTTTCTGGTTTGGTCTTATTTTCAGCGAAATATGACACTAAATGAATTTGTCTGGCTGACAATCTTAACTGGAGCTTATTTTTAGGGTAGGGCTTATATTACAAGCATCCTGAAAAAAATCATGCTAGGGTTTATTTTACAGTTGGGTCTTAATTTTGGATAAACACGGTAAGTTTTATAAGTTTGTGTGTGTGTGTGTGTGTGTGTGTGTTATAAATCTCAACAGATTATTTATATTGTGAGGCAGGATAAAGAAATGTTGGGAGCAGGAAGCCAAGGGTTAGAATTAAACTCCTTTTGATCAGCAGTGAAGGTCCAACAGCTTTCTTCGCTTCAGTGATAAATCTAACGCGTGATCTTTCCTCTGCGAATCCATTTAAGATTTTGTTGACATCATTGCGATCCTTGTCACTTTGACGCCGGTGTGATCTTTTCCCCTCGTCAGGTGTCGGGGATTTCACTGTCAGCGACGTCAGCTTCCTGCCAGATCCTTGCGCCCTTCCTGAGCATCAAAAGAAACGAGGCTTGAACGAGAAGGAGAAACTGATCTACGCCCCGCTCTCGGGGGTGGGGGGCTTGGTATACGACAAAGACGCCGTGTATATTGACCTCGGGGGAAGCCACTCCCACCGGGGCAGAGAGGTAGGACTTAAGGCTCGGCGCTTCATTTTCTGTTTATGAATTGCTGTTCATTGTTAAAGCATTTGTTGGGTAGCACCCTGGCCTGGCTGTGATGGACTGGCAATTGAAAAAATGACGGGAGACGCAGGGAAGAC